AAATAACTGCAGAAAAAAGCTTACCTAAAGAGACTGAAAAATTGCAAAAATACTAGTCGCACATTCCTATAAGCTCACTAACGTCTCTTGACAAATTAGGAACTTACATAGTCGCATAAGTACTTAAAAGCTTTCTTCATATTGCCAAAATACATCACACTGCACTGCGATGGCTCCAAAGCAGCAACCCAGTGTAAAGACTGTTTATCCATCAGGCTTACCAAATCGAAAATACTGGAAGTAGAATTGAGGTAAAACAAGAGAAAATGATTTAGAAAACCACGAGATAAATAATGAAGTAGCTCATGTCACCCCACCCTGAAAAATGTGCTTAGCGCAATCGGCAATGAATAGATATGCACCCTCACAAAAAATATTACACTCAGATCCCAAATAATCAGCAGCATAACAGCAGAGACAATAAAGAAAAATATAAAAGGAAAAACCACTCACGATTCGGAAACAGTCACATATTCAAACTTGTATCCGTATTCCAACTTTGACTCGTACCATTCTCTCAATGTCAAACTTTTAAGTACTTCTCTACAATTTCTTCTCCCTCCATCAGCAAAGCACCTTAAATGCTTCCTTAGAGTATAATGCAAAATTATACAACAAACCGACATGCCGTTACTTTACCAAAAAAATATAACAGTTTCTCAAGAAAAGCAGTATGTTAGTTTTGGACCTGATAGCCAATTCCATAAAATCTTCAACGGTAAGAAGCGCCACATAAACACATTTTGAAATATCAGTCAATGCAGCGACGTGAAGATTGTTCTGTGCCATCACATTAAATGTCCGCTTAACCTAAAAAGCGGAGAGTCACAAAAATGAGTGTAACACGTAGAATTCTGAATACAGTAGAACAAGATAAGAAAAAAAATACATTCATCGTCAGGTCAAAAGTCGCTACCATCCCGCTACTTGGAGCCATCGTATAAACGTCCTGGGCCTTCATAAACAAGGAATAGGCTGCATCTGGGCTTTCTAAAACCTGGTTAAAATAAGCCGTAAAAATTGAAAATAAAACCACATCTTTTAAACTTCTATTTGAAAAAAAAAAAGATCTAATCAGGCTAGTCAAATCATCGCTTCATGTCAACAAGCCGTAAAATGAAAGACGCTCTTTAACCAATCCCTTTTTTTGTAAATTCCTGCTCACTCTGCTTTCCTAAACGGTATAGTACAAAGAATCGGCTGTCGGTGATCAACCAGCAAAACAGGCATAGAAAACTAAGGATTAATACCACTAACCGATAACGACCTTTTCAAACTCCAATTTTGGCAAAGCAGATGAATTTGGGGTTGATAACGATCCTTCCTGCAATCAACAAGTGCACTTTTCCTGAGTAACCCTCAAAATAACTAAGAGAGAAAGCGCTTAACACCAACATTAGAAAACAGAAGTAATGAACAAGCGGATACATTTTATCTGCTTTAATTTACACAACTCATTTGGCTAGATACATTGAAAGATGTATATCAAAGACGAAGCTAGAATCTGCGCTAACAGACGTGCAAATCTTTTAGCGATATGAAGCAGCATAAAACACAACTGTGTCTGTATAAAGTGCCCCAACACCTCGAGATTTAAATCAGTGGTAAAAGAAGTTTCAAGTGCTGAACTCTTAACATATATCCACTAAATTTCACCAAGCAACAAATAAGGCTATCACGAATTTGGTGACCTCATAATTCGATTAATAAAAATAATTTAAAAAACCCTCATTTGTTTAATACTAATTGACCATTTAGAAGAAAAAAAGAAAAAAAAAAGATGTAACTTTCTAAAGTTATGCTGCGTCATATTTATGTGGCAAGTAATAAACACATCAGTACTGTACTGTCTACGAACAGTGTTTCATATTAGACAAAAAATCAAATAAGAAATAAAAATTTCAAAACGCTAATTGAAGGTCTAGTTTGAAAAGTTCCATACTAGAAAAAAAACACTATAGGCTAAATTAGGCTTAATTGTTTTTGCGTTTTTCAGCGATACTGAAAAAGCTCAAAAACAATTAAGCCTGATTCTTGGTAATACAATTTAAGCAAAACTCAATACCATCTTTTCCTAACTACTCAGTATTAGAATTCATGCAGAAAAAAACCAAAGTGCGGCTACCTACTCTAACCGTTCAATAAACAACACATCAAAAACCAAGTGAACAACAGTTAATCTAGATTCTCTTTGAAAATGAAAAGAAATAAAATCAACATTAGCGAAATCATGTTTACTTCTTCCCATACATACCCTCAGTTATATAAAAAAGCAAAACTAACATTTCTGAAAACTAGAGCAAAGTTTCCAATAGGAGATTCATTCCCATCCACAACAACAGTGCCAGACGTTGTACGATCTCTACCTGAATTGCGTAATACAATAAAAACTTAGTCTTTCACTGAATCCTTTTTAATTCTCAACGGAAAAAACTTGGGTGAACAATACTGATAACTCCACATTGTCAAATCGGGTAAATAGTAAAATTGTTTCTATTAAACAAACCTGGAAATGGCCGTCGGTGCGCCTTGTTCGAACCCTGAGAATAACAAGATTGAGAATTTCTTTCAATAAGCATTGTGTTAAACACTCAAGAAGATTAAAAATTTTAAGTTAAGTGTTATAGCTGGAAAAGCTGTCGGCTATTTTTTAAATATCGCTAGAAAAAAGGCAAGATCAAATACGAGATTAATCCTTCTATACTTAAAATACTAAATTCACCATTTAGCGATAGCTACTCCCACAACTTCTATCTTTTTCTAAATGAGACTGATGCGCGTACCACAAGCCTTTACAATCACTTTGGGCACACTCTTACAATAATTAGCAAACGAAATGCACCGACCAATTTAAGCCCAAAAAAAAAAAAAAAAAAAAAAAAAAAAAAAAAA